AAAAAAAAAAAAGAAAGCTCTTTAAGGCCTGAGGGTCACTCCCTTATTTAAGTAAACAAAGTATGTTTTTAACACATAGGCCTTGCGGTAAGCCTGTCTTTATCTGCCTTGTTCCAAAGAGGATTTGACTTGGGCTTTCAAATCTGTTGTGGCTGCCAAATGGCTCTTTCTCTTGCTGACTTCCAAGTTATTAACTGCATCCTGGATAGATGAGCTATTATTTGATGCTCCCATGTTTCACCAGGACAGTGGCCACTGGTGTTTATAATGCTTACCCAGACAGGTAGTATTCTTACATGATCCCAACTTCTGATCACCCAGAAAGAAGGATTGTGTTCTGTTAAGCTTTTTGTGTGTCATATTTGAGGACCAGAATATCTGCTGCCAGTCTAGACCAGATAAGAGTTACCAGCTTCTGTTAAGCAAATATTTGAACTTGCTAGGCCTGAAGATGGGGCTAACTATATGGATACCCTACTTGAAACACTCTGGATTTGGTTGATGTTGATGATGGCAATGACTGTTGTTGGATGCCAGGCGCTGTACAGGGTACTTTGTGTAACTTCATCCTCCCAGCATTTTACTGTCAGAAGACTGAGCTTTTCATCACTATCACTAATAAGTGGCAATGGCTTGATTGGAACCAAGCTGGTTGAGCCCCCAGCCCCCATGTCAAGTGCTCTGCCTTATTTGACCTGAGGGTCAGGGTGCTCCTATACTTCCTGGGCCTGAGGAGTAGCTGCCCAGCTGGTTTCCCTGCTGCTGGTCTCCCTTAATGGGTCTTCCCATCATACTGTTAAAATAATCAGCTCCAACGTTGTTTTAATCACAACTGAGAGACTTGTTTTATTTTGTTTTTGAGAGACTTTTGAATTGCACATTTTGGAAAGGGAAAGTTGCATAGTTTCTGACTTTGAAAATGTCTGTTGTCTTTTCCAGCCCTCCCTATCCACATCTTACCCAGGCTGCAGTGCCGTCCATAGTCTGCACATGTAAAACAATTTCTAGAAGTGATTTCTAATGTGCGTGGCTGCAAATAGAACTTGGCCCAGTTTCCAAGTAGAATCAGGCATGGGTATCTATCAATGGCAATGTACTTAAAAAAGGAGAGAAGATAGTAAGCAACTTAGTAGAAGTCTCCTTGCTTGACTGCACTTAAAAATGTCCTCAGATAAAAATGAGGTTAAAGGACAAAACAAAGGCCAACTTGAATAAGTAAAGGTTCAGGAAAACAAGTCTGAGGTCAGATAGGGAAGCAGCGTGGAGAAATTTGTGTTTTTATCCTGGTATTCAGAGAGTATATTTGGCAGCTTTTTTTTTTTGGTCCCCTAATCGGGAGTATGTGGAAGCTTCTTATATCCTGTTTCTACATTATATGATGAAAAACCAATACTAGTTTTCATTATTCCCTTATCAGAGGAAGGAGAAAATATCTCTGATATTTTCTGTGGATTGAAATTAAGGATCTAAAAGGTAAATCTTCCTATTGTTTTATTATTTGGTATAACAAAAATTATATAAGACGTTTTAAAACTATCAGTAGGTTGTGATTAAGTCCAGATTACTATCTTTGAGAGAAGCAATATATTTTAAAGGTAAACCATTCCAAAGCTTGTTTTTCTGGAAACTTTTATATGGCACTTTCTTGCCAATTGCATGGAGCGGGGTTGGCCTTTTTGGTCATGTATCCAAAGCATAACACCTGTAAACTGCCATCCCTCCTGGCTTATTGTCTCCAGGCCCAGAGAGCAAGTGGAGTGGGAGAAAAGCAACTGGAAAACTTTATTTCGAAATAACTTCGAACTTATAGAAAAGTTGAAAGTATAGTAGAACAACCCCTTTATAGCCTTTACCCAGATTCACCGGGTTTTTACATTTTGGAATATTTACTTTGTTATTCTCTCTTTCTCCATATGTATGTGTGTATGTATATCTATGTACACACAAAGGCACACACGTACACATTAATTTTTTTTCTGAACCATTTGAGAGTATGTCTCTTATATTATGTCCCTCTAAACTTTAATATGAGGTTATTCCAAAAAATTCATGGAAATCTCATATGGTCTAGCAGTTTTAAAGAAAAAAAAGTTCATGGAAAGATTTGTATTATCCTTTAATTCTGTTTTTTCATGAACTTTCCAAAGTACCTTCTTACTAATATTTCAGGAAAAAATGCCTAAGAACAAGGATTTCTCATACATAATCACAGTACAGTTTTCCAATTTAAGTAAATTAACATAGATACAATACTTTCTTCTGTTGCACAATTCCTATTCCAGTTTTGTCAATTGTCCTTGTAATGTAACTAACAGATTTTTATAATAGCCAGATTAAAAAATAAACATATTTCTCCACTTCTAAGACAGTGTAGGAAGCTTCGATAAAAAAATGAACCAGTTACTCGGCTCTAAACACCACAAGTAAGAATTTATAATTAGCAAAAATGTTAGAAACCAAACTTACCTCTGTGCTTCTGAGAAGTGGCTTTACAGAGATGAAATCAGCCAAGGTCACCAGTGGGGTTTCAGCATGAACTTTGGTGCTGGGCTGTTGCTGTGTATTTTCCAAAGTAAATATGTCCCAATTTAAATACCACTCAACTAGCTTTGTCAGCAGAAACCCCCTCAACGTGCCTTTGGTCACTGAGTGACTTGTGATTCACAGGCTCCAGTTCTCTTGCAGCTGGTGTTTTGAATTTGTGAGTGTTGCCGTACGACCTGCACTCACTGCCCAGTGCAAGAGCAGCCCTCACAGCAGTCCCCACGTAACCGAGGGGCTCTTCAGAGTTCTGGGGGCTTGGTTGCATCAGGGATAGTTCTATTTGACCCCTTGAAAGTAGAGGCCACATGTCTGCCCTCCAACTATGTTTTCTCTCTAGGGTGATGGCAGCATCTGACCTCGCCCTGCTCTCCAGAGCTAACGGGGCTGGTTCAGCTACTAGAAGCATATCCCCATCCTTCCATGAGTTTGTCCCTCAGTGAAAAGTGGGGGAGGGAGAATGAGATTAGTGGCTTATAGAATAAACAGACCATGACATAGACCTTTCTTCAGTCAAGGGTTGCTGTGTTTATTGCCAGAATCTGCAGCCCAGCTGTCCTGCCTGTTGTAGGACAGGTAGGGATATTATTGAGCAGTGCTTCCCAAACTCAGATTCACTTAGGCATTTACGGGGATCTGTGAGGCTATGGTAAACTATTTTTAATTTGTGCTTTTAACTTTATGATCTAAAAAGTTATTATAAGAGTATTCTGGATTATCTGGAAGCCCAGCTTATCACAGAGCGCTGCTCCCTGATTTTGGTACCTGAGAGTGGGAGTGTCGGCACCCAGAGACCGTCTAAAGGGAGAGCGTGACTCTTAGACAGGAGAATGTGCAGGTGTGCGAGGGGCCCATAGGGGCATTTGTACGTTGCTCAGTTTGAGAAATTCTAGTGTGTAAAAGGCCACCTGCATTCAGGACGTGGAAAGTGTGGCCGGGTTTGAGTCTGGTTTAGCGTTCTGGAGCTGTGGTCAGAAGCCTTCTTCTCAGAGCCCTCATACCTCCTCCTCAATACTAAGTCCTCGGCATGTCTCCATCATGCTGCTTTGAGAGGCTGTTCCGTGTGTCCTGACTCCTCTGTGGTCTCTACTAAGCCCACAAGAGCTGCTCCTGGCAGCTGCCCCATTCTGTCTGTTCTCGCACATGCCAAGCCTACCCCTAGTGGAGCCCTGGTGTGCATTCTTCTTTCCGTGGGGTGCATCTCCCCTCCAGATGGGCATGTGGTGCTGTGCTCTCTGTCCAGCCTCTGCTGCACTGCTCCATACCCACCAACCTGGCTGACAGCACACCTACCACATAAGCTTATTGTAGAAATGAAATGAGATCGTGACTGTGGGGAAAGCACATGGAATGGTGTCTGGCACGCTGTCAGCACACAGGAAACATTAGCCGTTATCTTTTCATAGTAGGGATATTCATTCACAGTAAAGGTCTGGGAGGAGATGCAGGTTTCATTTTTTACTCTATGTACTTCTTTGTCGGAGTTCCTTTTCTATGAGTATATATTATTTTTGTTATGTTTTTAAGCCAGTAAGCAGTGATCTTTCCTGCATATCTAGATTTTTGATCATGTGACCCACTATTGAAAAAACAATTTCAACCCTCTTGACACTTTGACATTTTTGCATCTCTTTTCCATTTAGAGATGACAGAGTGTGCATGGTGTCAGCCCCCACTGAAATGTGGTAAGCAGTGATCTTTCCTGCATATCTAGATTTTTTGATCATGTGACCCACTATTGAAAAAACAATTTCAACCCTCGTGACACTTTGACATTTTTCATCTCTTTTCCATTTAGAGATGACAGAGTGTGCATGGTGTCAGCCCCCACTGAAATGTGGTACCTTCTGTCACACATTCTCTATTGTTTTCATTCCATTTTCAAGGCTTGCCTCATGGTTAGATATTTTTTCCAACTTTTTAATATGAAATTTTAAAAACATGCAGAGAAGTTGGAAGAATTGAATAATGAACATCCATATACCAACTACCTGGATAAAACAGTTATAATATTTTGCCATATCTCCTTAATTGTGTATGTGGGGGTGGTGAGGCTGTGTTATGGGGTATTTGCAGGTGAGAGGACGTTGTAACACTTGAGTCCTGGGCACTAAAACCTGTGTCTCTTAATTGGAAGGGGCCCCATCCTGCTCTGTACCACTATTATTCCTGGAAAAATCATAGTCTGTACATATATGTCTAGTCCAAGGCAGATTTGTCCATGACTTCAAAAATGTCTTTTTATCACTATCCTCTCAGTGACTGAGACGCAAGGATTACTCAGAGCCCAACTTTGTGAAAGCAGTGAGAGGCTCATAGGGACTACACTAAGCTAAATCCCACAAGAAAGGAGAAAGTAGGTGCATCCCCGAGCTTGGGCTTGTCTCATCTTTTATTGTAATGTCAAGACCTTGAACTATATAACAAACTAAGTATAGTATCAAAAGAAGCACAGAAAGGAGTGTGTAAACAGAATAGAAAATGATCTCAGTGTTTCCTACTACTCAATCAGAACATTTTTGCTGTTTTCAGTGTGTGCTGTTTTTAGCACTTATAGTTCAGATCCTGTACACTTAAGACTTTTGCCCAAGGCTTTTGCCCTTTGTGCTCTCCCTGTTCTAATCAGGCCCCTATGTTCCCATATCTTCCCCTTTTTTGTTTAAACGAAAGTTAAGTCTGCAGAAATGTTTGCAGTAAGTTCAGGAATCAGAGGTAAGTATTCTTTTGTAGTAGAGTCATCATGGCTTCTGCATGGAGAGTCCTGTGGAAACTGTGGTGTAATGCCTTCAACACTGCACGAAAACACAGGAAAAATAATAAACCTATTCCAGCAATAATCCATATTCTGATGTTAAGTCCTGAAAAACAGTTAGTAGGATTGAGCCAATGAGCCAAATCATTTAAATGATTAATAGTGGCATTTTGAGCTTCTTCTTGGAGTTGAAGCATTTGTCTTTGAAGTCTATTTATAAGGTTATTAATATCTCCAAGTAAATTAGAGTGAGAAGCTCCATGTAGTAATTTTTGAACATCCTCCCAAGAAGTAGAGGTGTTGAAAGGAATAGAAGTTATACACATGGAACGATATCTAACATCACAATTTAGTTGATTTCATGTCCAGAGTGCTTGTTGATGTTCACCAGGCAAAGACACTGCTGCCTCTAAGGCATCAGTCTCTGTAAGATTTTTTGGTGTATGTTTGTGCTAGAAGTTCAGGAGTTACATTTTGAAAATATCCATTCATTTTCTGTGCTGCTTGGATAGAGTGAGATAAAGCAACTATAGCAGTTGCAGCTGTGGTAGCCATGGCAGCAGCTGCTTTAATAGAAACCCTTTAGGACGAATTTGCTCTAAAGCAGAAGTTATCTGTTCCAGAGCAGAACTTCCCATCCATTCATGAGTAAGATTAATTGGCAACCGTGTTTCTGCTCTTTGTTTTAATATAAACATGAGAAATATTAAGATTAGAAATTTTAAAGTGTGTAATGCAAGGAGTAAACCAAGTAGAATTGGCAGGGAGAGTAATATTGATTATAGCACACCCTCAAGAGAGGACCCGCCAAACCAGTATTCTATTGGGATGATTGACCAGTGGTATAAAGCATATACCACCAAGCTTGGTAAGAAACAACACTCTCTGAAGTAATCTATCAGCTGGCGAGCCCTGGAACAGCAGTTTGGGCCTGATTGGGAAGGTCCCAGGCAGAGCGTCCTCCCCACAGGTGAGACTCCAAAGTTCTCCTTTACCTTTTGTGGTTTTTAAAGCAGTTGATAACAAAAGTAGCAACATTCCAACTGCACTTACGTGACTTAGTGAAAGTTTATCCTCCAGGAACCAGCCAAGTGCCCGAAGCATAACCTGCTCACCAAAATAATCGATAGCTATGCTTAACTTATCTGGAGACAACCCGTCTCGAGAACTCGAACTATCCTTCCCTGCAAGCCAAGCATGATGTTCCTGGCGGTACCTAGTACAACTCCCCTAGGGCAGGCCAGGCCACAAGGAATCTGCACGTACACCAGTCGTCTGAAAGGTTGTTAAATACTTAATTAGTCACTGCAAGCAATAGGTAAAGGAGATCTCTATGAAGATCTCAACTTTATTTCCTTTACAGGGGACTACTGTAAATAGTTTGCCACGGAGGTCTGGTGAATGTGCTTAGGCCCCCCTCCATTACATGAGGGGATGCCCTATGTGGGGGTGGCTCCTGGTCAGTGGACCAGAATAATTAAAAGGAAGAGTATAATTCCAGGTGGTATTAGAATCCAGTATCAGTAAGTCACATGGACCCCAATTTTCTAAAGTCCAATTATTAAACAATGTGTTTTCTATAAAATTAGTAGAGTGGCAAGAAATCCAACTAAGGTCTTGACTGTTTCCAATAGAAATCCAAAGATGAGAACATACAGGGATATTGGGTTTAGGATGGTTTTTGCTCATTATAGAATTTCCACCTACTCCTGCTGTGGAAATGAATACTTGATATTTTACAGCTAAAACACGATTAGGGTCTTTTACAATATGATTCGTATACCATTGGGGTTGAAAAGGAATACAGAAATTGCTAACAGTGAAATTATTTACAGCACATAAAGGTAATTTTTCAGTAAGAAAATACCAGTCATAAAGAAGTTTATGCCATCTGCTATGATAGCTCCCTTTATCACAATTTAATCCACAGTCTTGTAAGGGACCAGAAGGGGGGAGCCACTTTCCTCCCATGTGTGTTGTATCATTGGATGATTAAAGGAGGCTCTGTATCTTCTCATGTAGTCAAATCAAAAACAGGAGGATTCAGGACATGGGTCCAAAAAATGTTATTACTTATGCTTACGGAATTGGATAATACAGAGGAGCCCATATATTGTGAAAAGACATGTTACCTTTGGACCTTTGGAATTTATAGTTATGTGAGCAAGCATGGCCAAGAATAAATTTTCAGGTGTCTTGGGTGTTCCAGTAATTTCCAGTGTA